TCGTGACTCAACGGGAGGGATCTCCTTATTCCCTGAATTGATGTATATGGTTACACAGTGTACAGAAGTAGTCCTATGCCAATTCCAGTTGTGAGAAACCCTGCCACCTACTACCACGCCTCCCCAGTTCAGTTTGCTTCTGTCATGAATAAAATCTTTAACTGATCGTTTGGTGTCACGACTCCCTGGTCTGTCCAGTCTGGGTCGTGACAGTATGAGATCAGATATTCAAAGGAGTACACCTGATTCTTGAATTGAGACAACCCCAATAGATTAGTTAGCATTGGAGCTGACCAGGAAACACCACCTCTCCTTTGGGGTGGGGTGGGGAAGCTCTGGGAAAATAAAGATATTCATGCTGGTATGGGATGATGTTTCTAAATTATTACGAACTTCAGCAGACCTGGAACAGGAGCTGGCTTTTCAGAAGCTCCTTGAAAAACCTTGACACTTTCATTCGCCTTCCATGGTACAGAATGACACCAGAAAGCTAGATGACAGCACGACAGACCTGTGCGCTGGCAGGCAGAGAGACCCGGGGGCTCAGCCCCATTTGCAGCCTGGGAACCACTGTCTGAATTCCCAGTCAGAAGGTTGTCTTTCCCAACTTCTTTGGGAAAGCCAAAAACTGACAGGAGCTTTCCAGACAGGCACTATCATTTCAGTTTTCCCGATGGGAAAACTTTGCTCAATAGCAACTCAGTAACTAATTCACTGAATATGAAATCATTACTTGTAGTTCAAAAGACTTTTAAAGCTTTTATTCTTGCAATGCATTTAGTAATACTGATTATGGTTCCTCATTTTCTGTTCAGGAAGGAATGCATTACACTAAATCACACAGCAAAAAAAGTTTGGTCTACCATCACCAAAGGATAGTTAACACTACCTGTAAAATTGTTAGTTAGTAAGAATGCAAACAATATAAAAATGTTTTTGTCTTGAGATACCTCTTAAAATCCAGCTTGACGCCTTTATCTGTGTTGACAATCTCTTTTAGCCATTCCTGCAATGTGTTGTCACTGTCTGTTTCAGGTGGGTGAGCCATGATAGGGTCTCCATTACCTCCCTTGCCACCACGAAGAAGGACATCTGCTTCTATCATGTGAACATCACCTGTTGATTCAAAAAATGAATGCTCTAACAGAAGCAAATCCAATAGTTCCAGTGTCTGCTTCAGAGTAACAATTATAGCACAAGTCTTTGTACACTGGACTGTGCACACTTACACTACCCAGTACAAGTTGCTGTCTGTGAAGCAACAGAGATGCATTTGTTTGGGTACTTTAGCCACTAAACTCTTCAGAAATCTACAAGCACGTGAAAATTGGTTTTTGTAGATACATTTGGCCAAGTAATCACGTTTTGTTTAGAGGAACAGCAAAATGAATATCCAAAATGTAAATCCACTCATGCTAATTTTCAAATCTTTTCCTCTTAAAACAGGCTTCCAGACAGAGCCTTTTAGAGAAAAGGTGACCACAAGATTTTAGCAGGGGCAGAGACTGAGTACTCCCCTTGTCTCATCCTCAAAACTGACCAACCCACCTCAGCCAAAACTTTAAAAAAAAGTCAGCCAGCCAGCAACATCTGCCATGAAAATGGTAGCTGAAACACAAGACAAGTGAGTGGAAATCTTAGGAGTGCTGGAAACTCTTGAAAACAGCTTGCTATGATGAGAAGCATCTGAGAGCCTGAGCAGTGCTACCAGCTTTGCAGAGAATTCAATATATAGAGTTACTTAGACTGAAATAACAATAAAAAAGAAAATCATAATTATACAGTCAATAGAAAGCAAATTAGATATAAAATTACATAAATAAATTATTTATTTCCCTGATATTCACATAAATTAAATTAAAATTCACTGAAGGAAACTGCTCACAAATAACCTGAAATACTTTAACCACCTTGAACAAAATAGGGGGGAAAAGCAGTATTAAAACTGTCCGGTAGATTCCAAGAAATATTACCCAGTGTGTTACAACATTACACAATCTCGAATCATCCTAAAGAGACTCAGAAGAAGATCCATCCACATAGGATCAAAACTACTCAGGAATCCCTAACTGTTTCAGGAAGGGGGGACAAGTTTTGCAGTATAGCCCCGACAAAGCCGTCACAAGCACCTAATCCTCATGGCACTGCAGCTGCTCCTCAACCGGCAGGCACCTGGGGCAAAGCCAGCTTGAGAGTTACAGTAACTTTCCAAAAGGTTTTGCTCCTCTGCCTGCTGTCCTTCTAAACAGCCCTTAAACCGAACCCCGCCGGACGGAGGGAGGGAGGGAGGGATGGAAGGAAGGGAGGAAGGATCAAAGGACTTTCAGTCAGGTCATTTCCATTTTCTGTTTTCCAGAGCAGATCCGCAAATAGAAGCGTCAGCACAATGGAATGGGCGGCTTCCCACGAGAACAAGCAGGAAAGAACAGGGACAACTTGACCGCTGCTGCCCAGGCTGGCGTATTGGAGCTGCGGTCTCACCTCGCTGCAACTCCATCCGAGAAACCGCTTTCACCTGCAGCAGCAGCAGCAGCAGCTTTTGTGTCCTGCCGTGCAAACACATAAACTGAACAACACTCCAGATACGCTCAGCTCGAGTGCGTGAAACCAGAAGGCTCCTTAACTGTGGCTCTGGTCTGCTGGTAGGGGACGAAGAGCTCAGTTAATCTGAAGGTCTGCCCCGAGAGAGAGGGCCTGCAGGCCTGGAAGCCGGCTGCCTTTTTGCAACCAAGCGAGTTTTGCCTGATAAAAGGGCACCTCCTCCCAACCTCCTCCCGCCGGCCTTCGCGATGCCGGCCGGCCGGTTCGCAGGGGCAGGCGGCCGTCCCGCCACGGGCCTCGCCTGGAAGACGAAGCGGCAGCGCCTCACGGCGCGCACAGGCCCCCTCCCGCCGCCCCCCCTCAAGGTTAACGCCGAGGCGGCCACCCCAAGGCCGGGCCGGGCCGGGCCGGCCGTCAGCGGCTCGCACTTACTTCTCGCGGCCTCCCCGGCTCGGGCCTTGCCGTTGGCGGCGTGGAACCACCTGATGGCCGCCCCGTCCCTCGCTCCGATGCGCCGCCACCTCAGGAAGTGATCCACCGCCTCCTCGCTCCAGCCGCCTGCCGCAGCGCGAAGGGAGACCTCCCCTCAGCACCGGCGGCCGCAGGTGCACCCCCCACCGCGGGACCGCGGGGAGAGGCGGCGGCGGCGGGGGAGGAGGAGGCGGCGGCCGGCTGCCCGCCGCCCAGCTCTTACCCTGCGCCTCGTCCGCCATCGCCTCGCCGGGGCCCA